TGAGCTACAAAAGGATTGATTGTTTCTATTCAGGAATTTTTAATGCGGCTAAACTCTGCAACATCATCAACCTTTTATTTATTAATTTTACATATTTTATATTTTCTGCAGACATGTGATACAAGCATCTGATCTGCCTGAAATACGAGTATGGAGGAAGTATAATTGCGTCTATAAAAAGTCTGAATATTAGAGTATAATACCCCCCCCCAATCAATTGATAATGATTGACGTCAATCAGTGGTAAATGTTAAATGCACTTGAGCTTAGGCCTATATAGCGCTTTTCTATTCGCTCTAGTAGTCCTTAACTTCCTTAACTTTTCCCATTCATTCTCTATGGTAGTCCTTATCACTACGGATGTAATATACTTTTGGCCACTATGGAGATTTTGGGGGCGCTGTTTCACCCTTTTGGTAAAGGTAAGGAGACCCCGTTTGAGTGACAGTCTGACAGTCAGTGCAGCGTCTTCATCAGAAAGTTAAGAGAACTTCGTCAGCTCGACACTTTATCACCTTTTTGTTATGACTCTGTCAAAAAGTCCATCTTATGAGACGTAAGTATGCCTAATGTTTTCAATAACTTTATTAATAATCCTCATTTATATTGTGAAACCTGTTAAATGATAGTTTATTTGTTGTTTTTGTTTGCTAACGTAGCAAGGTAGTACATTAACATTACCTTTATACTGTTTTTAACTGTAAAATTAATGTTATTTCATTTGATTATTGAGCACGACTGGATTAAATGTCAGTGTTTTATATTTCTCTCCTGCTGACAGATACAGATAATCCTCTTTGTTTGACTCTTTCACGGTTTTTATTTATATAAAGTTTGAAACGTTTCCTTCAATCATATGTTAGTTCATACATTCTCATTGTGAATATTTGTAATGTAGTTTATTTTAAAGTTCATTTTTAAATTAGACTTTTTTGTATAGAACTTTTCATACCACAGAAATGTATTTGTTAATGTTTGGGGGTATTTTTGAATTAATATCAGAGTACATGACTATTTTAAAGCCTGCATGTGAGATTGGTTTGAATTAAAAATATTTTATTTTAATTATTAGGTGTCAGAGAAGTATTGTATTCTCCTATGTATATCAATCTATCTGTCTGTCTAGTGTGATATCCATTTTTTATTTGTCATTAGAAATGCAGGAAACACGACACTGTTCATATTACAGGATGATTACACTTTGTTTAATATGAATATGTATTGTTTTTTTATGTGCACAGAAGACGAAGTCACCTTATTTCTGATTTGTCAAAACAAACAACTCTTTACATTACCAAAATCATATTTTTAACCCCAGTTGAAATACTCATAAAGTAAAAACAGTGTTAATGATCACTTTGTATGACTAACTGTAAGAAACCACATTAACAGACATATGCTTTATTTTTCAGACTTTCCAAGCCAGCTCTGCTCCCTGTGTCCCTGAATCCCCCTCTCCCCGTGTAACCTGCTCTGGTCCTATAAAGACAGGACGTCTGATATGGCCGGACAGTCAGTCACACAGTCAACCGGACCGTCAGCATCACAGTCAACCGGACAGCCAGCCTCACAGTCAGCCGGACAGCCAGCCTCACAGTCAGCCGGACAGTCAGTCACACAGTCAACCGGACAGTCAGCCTCACAGTCAACCGGACAGCCAGCCTCACAGTCAGCCGGACAGTCAGCCTCACAGTCAACCGGACAGCCAGCCTCACAGTCAGCCGGACAGCCAGCCTCACAGTCAGCCGGACAGCCAGCCTCACAGTCAACCAGACAGTCAGTCACACAGTCAACCGGACAGCCAGCCTCACAGTCAACCGGACAGTCAGTCACACAGTCAGCCGGACAGTCAGCCTCACAGTCAACCGGACAGCCAGCCTCACAGTCAACCGGACAGTCAGCCTCACAGTCAACCGGACAGCCAGCCTCACAGTCAACCGGACAGCCAGCCTCACAGTCAACCGGACAGCCAGCCTCACAGTCAGCTGGACAGGCGGCATTAGGCAGCCGCACAGTCAGCATACCTGTCACAACTCTTCCTCAAACTGCTTCCCACCCTCCAGCTGTGACTACCCCTCAGGAGGAGTCAATAAGCCATACATTTTCCTTGCTCACCTCTCCTTTCTCAGCCATTTTGCGTTCCTGTTTTAAAGTAATTTGTTATCTGAGGGTAGGTGACGGCTAGCTTGGGCTTTATATCGTTGGTCAAATGCTGTGAATGCATGCTACAATTATTAAGGAAGCCCACCTGATAGGTCAACAGTCAGCATGTCAAGTGTGACTGTGTGCCATGTGAAAAATAATAATTGTTATTTCTTGTGTCAGACTGCGAGGTGTTTATAGCACATGTTTATAATGTGGTCACAGTGAGAACTTTTTCTGCTTCCGGGAGTTGACTGTTTATCACTGTGTTTAATAAAATATCTAGACGGTATTTCTCTTACTGTTTTTTCTTGATATTTATGGTGAAAAAAAATCAATCAATCAGTATTTGTAAAGCGGCAATTCATAACAAGTGTTGTCTAGAGACGCTTTACAAAAGAGCTTACGGGATAATATGCAGGAAGGATTTCTCCTTTGTATTCCTCACGTTCCTGATGTCCACACCTCCTCGCCGCTGAGGTCGGAGGTCGGAGCAGGAAGTGCATGAATGATGACGGCACAGTGTGATGGTGGAGGCTGGGCAAGGTGATCGCTCTAAATTTACTCAGGGACTGTTCTTGTACATTTCAGGTCATTTTCGTTCACGTGATATCAATTTTATGTAACCTGAAGCATCTACAGCAGTAAAATGCAACATGTACATAAAAGCAGCCGTAATATTGAAACAAAATAGATAATCTGATGATCTAAACTGATATTTAAACACTCGCTTGAATTCAGAGCTTTAACTTCTTTTGAGGTATTTTCAAACTGATTTATTCGACTGAAATTTGACTTGATATAGTCCTTTCATAAGTAACACTGCAGCAGTATTTGGGGACATTTTTATCTTTTACTTACAATTATTGAGAGTAGTAACAGCTACTTATGAGAAAGATGTGAGACACTCAGTGTAGTCTTTTATGAATTCATTTGTTTATAGACAAGACATAGTTTATTATAATTATTAAATTGAATTAAACATTTAATAGTAACATTATTATAATCTTATCTTCCTATCTTTACTCATGATTTGTTCCACAGTAGGTTGATGCATTTCACTTTAACCATCTCGTGTACAATGTAGTGAATTATTCTGGTCCAAATATTGGATTTTGTTTTGGGTTGAGCTGGATTCGAAGCCGCTCACACCTGAAGCGCCTCCAGTTCATAGATTTGTCCTCTACGGTTATACGCGGCTGGCCTCCGCGTCACACCCATCCATTCACACCCTTTCACACACTGATGGTAGTGATCGCTATGTAGAATCATCCATCAGAAGTAACTAAGAAGTAACTATATTATATAACATTAGCTATGCAGTCATGGTTAATGACATGTTTAGTTTTACAGATATTTTTAGTATTACTAAGGCTCTTTAAACTGGTTGGCACAACAACAAAAGAGTGACTGGGAAGGCTGTAAGACTTCTAGTATGCCCATGATAGAAGACAGTGATTCATATTTTATGCCCAACAACATTTTAAACTGGTAATTTGACTTTGTGTTTGCTCAATATTGTAGAAGAAAACCGTTGAGCTAATTTGCAAATATTGTTCTCTTTGGTTCTATGCTTTTCATTTGCGAAATTCATTAGAGCTCTGGATGAATTATACAATAAAAGCCTTATATAAGGCTCCCATAAGCCACAGCTGATTGTGAGGGTAAAATAAAAGACTCGGCCTTCAAAGCTCACTTCTGTGAGTTCACTATGCCCGCACAGTTCACAAAGAATATTCAGCAGCAGGAAATTCAGAAGGCAGCACAGATGAATACTTTGGTCTTCAGTGTAACCATTTTAATTTTACAAGAGGATAACACTTGTATGAAGATGATTCTTCCCCCCTCCAGATGTGACACAGAGTTCATCACAGAACATTGTGCTTGCTGTGTTATGGAATCCATCTCTGTGTTATCCGTGCTGCAGTAACCATCTAGGTCGCCCCTGTGAAAGGAAAAAAATGCTCTTCTTCTCACATAATCTGTTGCAGGCAGGCTGACTCTGTGAAAAGTGTTTTTGTTACAGCGAGTCCTTGAGCAGCAAGCCTGCAGCCTTGAGATGTATAAAAGCCTCATTCATGATGTTGGTTTAACAGCTGAATGTGCTGGTACTATTTCTCCATGAATATTGCAGAAAAACATCTGAATTTGTAATGCAGACACTTCTGAAAGGAAACCAAGTCGGTGAAAGAATACGTTTATTTTGTTTATTTTATGCCACTGTTGATGTAAAGCCAAAAAGTAAAAATGAAAAACTTGCACTTGTGTTGCCTTCAAGGTCAATTACCAATCCATGCTGTAGGCCATATGCTAAGTTGCTGAATCAGAATGTAATGCAACAGATGATTTATCTCTTTCACTAGGCCTACATGCTCAATTTCTCATTTTGAAAATAAGAAAAGCTGTGATTCATAAAGTTGTCCAGCAGGTGGTGGTAGATCATCAATTTAAAATCTGTCACGACTGACTCTGGATTCGTTTCTGATAAAAGGTTTTGTGGTCACTTGGATGATTTCGACATCGTGTATTTCATTCATTTATAAATAAACTATTCGACTCCATTTCCTCGCTGGACACGAGGATTTAATAGCTTACGTAAATACGTTAACGCAATAAACAGTAGGCTAATACAAAAAAAAAGGCCATACCTTAAAGAGTCACGTGCGTTGTGATGAGATTGAAAGTATGAACAGTTCATGTCCTTGCTTTTGGGGACCTCCAAAACGCGTCATGGAAAAGATGCGGTCAATGACGCAAACTCCGCCCCACCGGGGCGTCACGGTGCTCTGTCCTGCATTTTAATTGGTGTTCGATTCAGTCAGTCACGCACGGCCTCCCCCCTCCGTACAGCGGTGGAAGCTGATGCTTTACACACGGGCTGAATGCGGAGGGTGCATGTGTGTGCATGTCAGGCTGGGGAGGACGGGGCTGCATGTTCAATAGCTTGAGGGTGTTTTTACGAGCCCCTTTGGGTCAAAGAAACAAACTGTTTCCAAACATCTCGGCAGTCATCACCTGGGATTGACGTGTAACTCGGTCAAGGTGAGTGCGGATTTTTCTCTTTCGTTCTTATTTTTTTTTTTTTAAACCATCTCAGGCGTTTGCCCTTGGAAATCTTGTCATTTTATTAAGTAATGTGCATTTCAAAGTTGCACTGCAGAGGTTGTTTTCCTGTTCTCTGAGGCAGCAGTAGCCTACACTACTGAAACATTGTGCAGCAGTTAAATAGTAAGCTGTTAGAGTGCTCGGTGTAAATCTTAAAAGTGAAACAAGCCAGCATTTAAAAGCATTTAAAACCACTTTAGACACTGGGTGAAACTCTCTTTTATAATATGATGGCTCCAATCAGTCTCCATGGAAACTCTGAACCCCTTTCCTCTTCCTCTCCAAACAAGCAGAAACGAGTTTATGAGGGCAAGTCATCCGTTTGCAATTGAAAACTTTGACAGGCCTCTGCAGTGCTGTATAGAAAGCTTTTAGTTTGACCACAGGCTAAAAAAAATCGTGAACAGAGTGCCTTTACGAGTAGCTGTAAACACCGCTGCGTGTCAGACCACAGACAGGATCGTTTTTCAGATTGAATCAGCTCTACATCGCATCTTACCCACTACACAGTGTTTGGAACAATCAAAAAAGAGGAATTTTAACACGTCTTTTACTATACAGATGTTAGATGTAAAACATTTTGAATGACAATTTTCAGAACAGTATGCTAAAATTCTAGCCTATGTAACTCAAAGTCATTCTAATTGTAGCCTAATTACTGGGCTTGTGCCAAAACTTTCCAGGCAGATGTCTCTCCTAATCCTTAAATATCAGCTTGAGTCTAAGTGATTTTGTTGATTAAGAAATGCTATGGCTCACATGCAATGTTGATTGATGATTTAGGGATTCACACAGTGTTATCTCAGTTCTCTTGGTTGTTGTGTCAACAGTGCGGACAGAGGAGGCTTTTCACTTTGCTTGGGCTATGTGTGTTTTGGAAAAGTGGGTGAGGCTGAATAGGGGCTACTGAGAGATCCTTTAGAAAAGCCTGTCATGAGGCACAGCTTGCCTCAGAGTGGTTTAAAAGGAAAAGGGGAAATACATGAAAATAGTGGAGAAAATGTTAAAGTTGTTGAAATACCCTTTAGAGAGTATGCTGCAAATGTTCCTGTTTTTTTTCCATTGTCACAGCTGTTTTCACTTTTTTGGCTTCTGAGGGTTTTTGTTCCTATCACACCCAGTTCAGGGATTCTAGTCCAACATAGAATCTATCTATCTATCTATCTATCTATCTATCTATCTATCTATCTATCTATCTCTACCAACAAACACTTGATTTTGGTAACACCACAGAGACAGAGGATGTAGGATAGAGCTGTACGTCATGTTGAAGGCTATTTCCATCACATAAAGTAGTGTTATAAATCATGCAGCAACATGTGACACATTGCTCTTGGCTCTTTGCACTCAGCAACAAGTGAATACTGCAGGAAGTTAATAAATAGGACCTGCAGAACAGCTGTTGTGAGCATCTCATGTAAATAGATGGTGTCACCTCATTTTGCAGTATAGGCCACCATAAATAATTTACGCTGTTTAACTAAATAGATGTGGTTTGACTTTAGTAATAATTCAGGAAGTTAGTAATACCGAAAGTACACTATTGGAACGTGTCCATTTTCTTACAATTCAAATTCAACTTGAAGGAACAGTTCAACATAATAAAAGAGTTACACTTGTATCAGATTAATAGGATCAAAAGTAGTTTGATGTGTTGTTTGATTATTTTCCTTTCAAAGTGGCTTGGACTGTCTTGTTAGAATCATTTATTTAGTGGCAGGTTTCTGCTCTTGTCCTCAGCCTCCTCTAGGAGAGAGAGAGAGAGAGAGAGAGAGAGAGAGAGACTAATTAGGAGCCAGAGTGGCTGAAGGAAACATGAGGGTTGATTTCAGTTGCCAGTTATCAGCATGAAATTTTAACAAAAGGCGACACAAGCAGATACTTTTAAAAAGAGATAAAAAGAATGCATGTTTTCACTGAACTCCTCCATACAGTCTTGGTCGTTTGTTTGGTTAGGGATAAATAATTGCACATGTTAACCATCTTAAAGGACGCTAGCTCTGGTGTACTTAAATAATGTAGGCCTCAGGTATGACAGGTTTTCTCATTGGCTCATTTTTCAAATAAGAAAAGCATTTTTCAAAACATTCAGCTCAAACCTCTGAACAATTAGTTTCTCCCTCTCAACAGATTAGAATTTCTCATTCATTCAGGCAAATTGCATCGTTTTGGTACGATGTGTGCAAAAGAGTAATCACAATTCTCTACAATCTGCACAGATGTCCTTTGTTTAGGGCTCACTGATCAGAACGGATCAGCTGATTCTCAGTTAAAATGTCAAACTCTTCACAACCTTTACATTTTCTTTCGTGATTTGAGCCATCACAATAACTGTCCATTCAGTCATCAAAATGGGTCAGACAGACTCCATAAATATTCATAACATGGGATCTTTGTGATGTCTGCTAAATTGGCAAATGATCTGACAGTATAGGTACTAGGAAACACATGGGTGTCGTTTTGTGTCAAGTCTTCTGTATATGACTTTATATGGAAGACCAAAGTTAGATTTTTTTATATACAGGACGTAACAAATTGTTACACAAACAGATGAACTGCACAGATGTACTGAGCCTTACTGCTGTGTTGTACAGTCTGGATCTGTCCCAGTAAACTTTTACCTAATGTTGAAATCTAAATCTAAAATGTTCAGTATGATACAGAATAAAGTAGCATTAAGTGAGTCGAATAAATAATTGTACCTACAGTAAGCAAGAAATGGAGATTTAATATAAGAAACTTTTCCAGGGCTGACTGACGTGGTGACGAAAACATCACAAAGATGAGAAAAAGCCAAAACATTTTGACCAATACAACTTTTTCATTTTGGTGGCAGTGGCCAATAAACTGACACAACCTTCGGTTTTAAAACGTAAATGTAACTTTTGAGGGGATTAACTTCCTTTTGCAAACATGCAACAGAGTTTAGCTGTACCATGAAACTGTGACAATTGCACTACAGTTTAGAGAATGTTAGGACTGTTTAAAAAAATGAGCCAAAACGATTGAGGAACAACTGTAAATATTTTGTTCAGCTAATACTGTCTCTTTTCATTTCATGCTTACATTTTAGAAATGAATTAACAGGGAAGTCAGCCTCATCTTGAATGTATAGCATTAGCTAGAAGCTAAAAGATGCGATGTTAGCCTGTCCTGTAGTTACCAGATATTTTAACGTCTATGTGGATTTTAATGCATATTTGTGAATTTGTAAAATCTCCCCTGCAGGATGAATCCTAATGACTCTAGAGAACCCTACACTTTTATCTAGAAGAGCACTTTAATATGGCCAAATATTAATATAATATAATATTATAAGCACAATCCTTTTGATTCCCTTTTTTATTTTATTCTTTTGTATTTTTTTAAAGTCTCGGAAAAGTAATAACATGTCTTTCAACTTCTCCTGCACGTGTTTAGTGCAACGTGTATCGATGTTAGCATCCTTATGGATTAAACTTTGATGATGAGCCAATCCTGATACTCAACATCATGTAGCATTGTCACTTTGAGTTTGTTAGTGTGCTTTAAAGGCAATCGTTTTGATAAATATGTACACTTTCATGGAGCTGTAGACACTTAGTGTTGTTGTAAACAGTGATAGCTTCATGGTTTCATTATTGAAAATAAATTCTCAGACATGAAACTGTCAGCTTGTTAGCCCATTTCAGTCATAATGTTGGTTAGGTGAAGGGGTTAAAGAGTGTTTTAGTAATAAGTCAGTAAAATCAGTTGCAAGATAAACCGTTTATCTCGTTTTGTTTTAGTGGAGAGTTCACTCTGGCATGATGTATTCTCTGCAGTATATTAATCGAGCCGACAAATCGGTCAATAAAAGTCTACAAATAGAAATAAAAGACCAACATCAAAGAACTGTGGGTGAGATGTGATCAAACTGCAACATGAACAACACACGCTGCAAATCTTCAGTCAAACCACAAACAACAAGCTGGTCAGCTGCTGTCTTTTTGTCACAGTGAGTTAGGAATGCTGACAGAGTTTAGGCATGAAGTAAATCTTTGAAGATTTGGTAACTCTTTGCAGTCGGGCAGTTTATCTCTTTCTGTCCATACATGGACGGTAATGAAAGACGATGCCATGTCTAAATTTATCTGCACTCCAGGGACTTAGAGATTGCTTCTGGCAGTACAGAATTTTTCTCAAGTTTTTGTCAATGTATTGTTTTTTTGGCCTACTTTGGGGGGGCCATGTCCATGTACCCTCTCAATGTCACCACCCTCTGCTTTCTGTCAACACATCTATGACTTGATATGAAAATTGCCATTAAGATTTTGCTGTTTCATCTTAATCAGAACAGGGGTTGAGTTTTAAGTACAGTAATCCTTCATTTTGGAGAGAAAAAGCATGATCGCTCTGTCACGCAATTTGCCGCAGTAAAGTCCAGTGCGTTCGTAATTTTTTCCCCCCACCAGTTCTTACAGGGAGTGTAGAAATAAACTGTGACTCCACTCTGCGTCCTAATGAGATGGTGTTGAGCTATGAGGCTGTCAGGATCCCCCACACTGTGAATTTAACAAAAGAGGGGACCTCTGTCACTCTCGTAGCAGACCAGAGAAAAGAAGTGAGATAAAGAGAGGGAGGGACGGGGTGTGGGAGGAAAGGGAGCATTTCAAGGATGTGGTAGATTAACAGGATGCATTGTGACCTCTTTTTTAGACTGTGTGCTTAGCCTATCGTATGTTTGCCAGTTTGTGAATGAAAAGATGTCCTCTGTGGTGGGGACAATAGAGATAAGGCTAAGTCAGAAAATGTTTTATCAAAGGGTAAACAATGACTAGAGGGCTTTAAACTACAGATTCATTCATAGAAAGAATATTGGTCAAGTTTGATGCACTAGAATGATTGTAGGAATTTTATAAAAAAATGTTAGGCAATAGGGATGTAACGACCTTGCCACACAATTAAAAAATCAATAC